AAATGCATCCTCAATGTTTTGGTTTGATAATTAAAGCCTATTCGAAGATCTCACACGTCAATAGTTTTGAAGAAAAAACAAATCATTCAATCTTAAAATGATGCTAGTGACACTGCTGCTCGGACTACATACAAGCTACTATATTTCATTTAGCTTTTACTCAAGTTCATATTGAGACATAATATAGCTTCAGCAAGTTCCAAATAATTGACACTCAAAGCATATCTTTTAACTTGACATTATTTCATCACAAAGCACTTACAGCATAGTCAGCTGAATACAATGGTTGGGCCAGAAGCATATCATTTCCTTTTTGTAATCCAGTAGCTAATGCAGCTCCGGAATGACTAATATTGTATTCGGTGCTTTGATTGCCTAAATTGAACACTTCAATAGTGTGCGATGTGGCTTGTCTTACAGTATCATTCAGTGCGATTTCACTGGGCGAAATTAAAGTCGTAGCTTGGATAGCTTGAAGTATATTGACCAGTCCGGCACCTTGTTGAGCAGTTGAGGCAAAAAGAGACGTGTTGAAAATGTTTACTGGTATGGCATTTGATTGAAATAGATTGACGACTTTCTTGAATGAAGGACGACAATTTGTCTGACAACTAATGTTTGCTGATGCTGGAGGAGGATTGCCAATATGTGCAAGAAAGAGTGCCAAAGTTCTTTAAAAAGCCATAAACTCAATAAATTTCGGAGTGATTAAACCTATCTGTAGAATGTTTCCAGAGTCCTTTAGAAAAGTCGATACAGATATACGATATACAACCTAAGGAATTCCATGGATTCTTTAAATTGTCTAGTGAGACATTTAAAAATCTTCGTTTTGTATATTTTCAGGGACGTTCTTTTCTTAAAAAACTCAGAATATCAGTAGTTTTATTAATAGTTTAATATGAGTTATCTATCGCTTTAATACGAAAACTACAAATCAAAATTAGACGAAAGCGTAGCAAGTGACGATTAAGTTAAAATTGTACATCTCAAAATATTTCTTCGATGTAGCAACGTGGAAAAATCGTCAAAATTCATGACGTTTCTGCAACTAACTCACAATCAATTGTTTATTCATGGAATCATTTTGCATCATTCAGTGAAAAGATTTCATCTTTTAAGATTTTGAGACAACTTATTTAGTTGTAATTCAACTGTTCTGTTTTCCTCGTAAAATATAATGCACTACTATGACAGCTCGAACAGCTGACTATAATTGGTTTTCACAAACATTATAAATTTTATTAAGTTTGTTTCTTTAATTTTTGTTGATCGTTACGAATTTTTTTTGTTCTTCCACTGTGACAATTTCACAAAAATATTAAAACTTTGCACTAGCTGGATCCACATTCTATGTTTTTTAATCTATTTCTACTTGCGATTTCTGTATCCCTACAATTCCTAACTTACATTCGGTCTTTAATTGAATGACCTTCGTTGTAATGTTTGCAGACACAGATATTTATCGGACAGCACATAGAATAAAACTTTGAAGAATCTGTTAATATACTATGGAAAATCCGATTGAATCATTTGAGTTGTATAAGATAGATACTAGTGGACAACAAGCTGTAGTTAGCCAAAGTTCATTCATATGTGGATCTTTTATCTTAAAATGTCCACCATAAGAAGAGCTCAATGAAGTGTAATCACAACTGAAAGCTCTATTACTATAAAACTCAACTATCAAAATATCTCTAGGACTCTACTCGAACTTCCAACTAGCCTCAATCTTTTGATTTAAAAGTTGTGTCCCAGATTGTTCAACTATGACTCAGTCAGCAGCACAATGTTCAGAAGCTCAGTTACTATTAAAACAAAAGTTCATATCATCTTATAAATCAAGAGCGATGGTTCTGGCCAACTACTAAGACAGAGCGGTGGGTGCGAGCGTAGGTAGCTGTGTAGAAAAAAATATATCTACGTCCACACTCTAGTTCTACAAATGACTTAAATATTCACCTGCTTATTGATTGGTCATTACCAATTTGCTATAATCGTTGATATCTAGAAAAACTTTTCTCTAGTGTTCCGAGACTCATATTGCAGACTTGATTCAATTAATTGATGCGACAGTATATTGAGACTGATCAAATTAAAATGATGGGCCCAACATTATGAAAAAGTTGTGAACAAATTCGAATTTCACATAAATCAGTAATATGTGTAGCATTTCAAGTTAATGTAAAAATATCCGAAATCAGTTATATTTTTGACAGAGCATAAGAAATTGTATTGAATATCCATTTTTAGCGAAGTATTGTGTTAAATATGTATAGGAGATGTAAAAGATTCAAAATAGGATTTCTTATGTCGAACTTAGGTTGACATGACCGGTTATTTGCACATAAATAGCTTTTGCTGATTTTAAGAAATTTCAAGCTATTATAAATGACTTCGTGTCAAGGCTGCCTTTGTATCGTATGATGGTAGAATGCTCTCAAAATCGATCCAAAGCAAGTATCTAATAGAATATTTCGTGTCTTTTCAAAGACATAACTAATTTTCGATATCTTTACATCATATTGAAGTAGGAAATATATTGATAGCACACCCGAAAGATGAACACATTCTCTCTTTATTTTTTCATGTTTCTTTTAACCATAACTTAAAACACGATCAACTTCAATAGACTATTTGATCTCCGTAGTGTCTTTCGTGTTGATTAATTGAACTACGACTGATCAACGAGTCTTTGGGTACTAGAGAATAGTTTTTTTTTCTGTATATTATCGGTGACAGTGGATAGATCATGACACTTCAATAGTCAGATGAACTTCAATGTGATTTGCAGTGTACATAGCTGGATTGCAGGGTTATATGTGTGGCTGTCAGATCTATGGATACTTTTCATTCAAAATGTATGAAGCTCAAAGGAAAAATATTCATTATCAATTATTAATCACTTTTTATTCAAAACAATTGGGTGCGCCGTTATTAACGACATATATTTCTGCTGCTGTGTTTACATAGAAATTTTCATTTCTCTAGTACCTGTAATAAATCGGATCCAAAGAAGAGAACGGACAATTATTTTGGCTAGTACCAAAAGACTTCGCACGATATCAAATGTCTTTTCGAACTTGAGTCTCCAAGAAACTCTATGTTGGCATATTTGTATTTTCTGAAGCATATGGATTGCAAAAACTTCGAAAGTATTTTACTGATTAGTCGCAAAATCTACTAGAAAAGAAGAACTAGTAAGTGATTTCATTTTAGATTTTTGTAGAGGTTAAAACGTAAGACTGTTACTGGGAATAGGTTAAAAAAGTCACCATAGAAAGTGACTGGCTATTCCAAAATGACAATCATCTAAGGTATAAATATGATAGAGGCATCTATTTTTGTTGAAATGTCGAATAGATTAAGATCAATCGGAATTTTGCTTAATAATTGAACTTTCAATCCAAGATTATTTTAGGGCGAGTTTCAGATTGATGTCGGTTGATCGAAGATCGGAATAAAAGTATGCATGTTACTATATACTCACCCTGCAACATACGGACATGCCATACTTGTGCCAGAATAGGTAGCATAAGCGTCTGAAATTTTTTGTTTACTGGCGGCAAAAGATGAAATAGTGGAGTAAACATAGCCACCAAGGCCGCTTATTTGAGGCTTGAACATTAAGTCACCAGGAAGACCAAACGACGTGAAACTTGAAGGCGTTCCTACCGTCAGCTGCATATACATTGAAAAAAAAAAGATTCATTCCATTATATCATAAAGATTATCTCGCAAAAATCTCTTATATGCCGCCTTTTCATATTATTAATTGCTTTCAAAGGAAAAAAAATCATAGGTTGGAGAAACTCTGATAATTATGACACTATATGTATGCGGTAGACTTTTTGTCATTATTTACAAACTTGAGACAAAGAGATTGCAATTTCATGGGAGTCTTTCTGTCAGAGTGAGTTGTAAAAATTACTTTAGAAAATGTTGAATACAGTGAAAAAATATTTAAAACGCAGATAATAATAATTTCATAGGCAAGTGTACAACGTCAGCTAGATATTTTTGCTAAGGAATATTCTGATCATCGACGTAATCTATTGTTGTCACTAATTTTGTGCAACTATTGAAACTCTATCCAACGAAGAAAAATCGTTTGAGTATCTTTATTACTGTTGCTGAGCAATCGAATTAGTATATTAAATTGTTTAACAGATATTATCCTAAGAGATTTTTTAATACATCAACTAAAAAAGTTCTACGGCCCATCTTAGATTTATTATATGAAATTGTGTTGCTCAACCTTAATTGACGTTGACCTTAATAACGTTGACAATATCAACGCAGTTAATGTCTTAATTCCCTCGTAAGAGCATACTTGAAACATAGATATTCGAGGAGAACGTTACGAATTCCTAATATCTCTTTGATGAGTCGGCTAATGGAATTGTCTTCCGATGAAATACTCACACAGTAGATCCAGATAGGATCGCAAAACATGTTGAACACATATGATTGCGAATTAGGCAGCATTAAATTTGATCAGAAGTCTACTTTGCAAAGTCAGTGGCTGAGAGAAAAATCTACACATGGTAGAACTCTTCCGCTATATGCTAATTATAAGCTGACCGATTCAGGGTAGGTATGATCTGAAAAATTCTGGCTAGATTCAAGTGATCTAAATGAAGAGTCGATGATTTATCCCAGGAGTGCTCGACAGAACGCAATGAAAGCCACTTAGTGTCTCTGAATGAAAAGATAATTTTTCATAGTTTGGAAAAATTTTGACAATCTTACTATATTGAAATCTAATCGATTCATTAGAAATTTATCTTAAACCTAACTTTTCTTGACAAAATTGCATCTTAATAGATCAATGATTACTGCGGTTACGAATTCAGCCTACGTACAACTGGAGCAATTCCTTGTAAATTTGTGAATGTAAATATGGATGATGAATCGTTTGCCACTATCACAATAATTTTCAAACCATCGTCCATGGTAATGCTTCCACTCGGGATAGTTGAAGAACCTGAAAGACAAATTCAGTTTGAAAATAATCGAAAGCGTAGAAAGAAACCTGTGATAGCACCAGCATTATATATAAGACAGCCAGTTGCACCAGCTTGTGCCGCTCTATTACATCGAACAGCAGAGTTACATCCATCAGCATTGTTAAAAGCATACAAAACTACAGCACCTGTCACATTTTTGTCTGGACCGGAGCAGCCATCATTTACCGTAGCTTGTGGATCTGATGATTATTACAAAAAAAATGATAATATGTATATAATTGAAGCAAAACTCACTATTTACAACAATTCTTGATGGTACATTTGATTGCCATCCACCAAAAACAGTTCCAGGTAGGTAGTAAATTCGTTCGCCATCTGGGGTGAGTAGATAGAATCGGGGCGAATGCGAGTTGTCTACTGAAGCAATGGCCATTGCTCCTGAGGAAATGGATGGAGATCCACCTGTCTGAAGGCCTTGACTTCCCTCGTTACCAAATGAAAATGTTAGATATACTAATAGGAGTGTCGAGATGTTTAGAAAATTTTCCAAAACAATAGAATATCGTTACCTCCTTGTTCAGATACACGTTGTGCAGCGATAGAATGCGGACTTTCCGTATAAGCACCGGCACCCCCGACAGACATTGTAACTAAGAATATCATGATCAGATTAAAATACAACATCAAATCATTGCTACAGATCAATTATTACAATTGAACACAATTTTTAAGACGTTCGCAAGAACACTAATTGAACTCTATTTTTATTGACTATTAAGACTACGAAAATTTCAATTTAGTTGCAAGAATTGTGAAGAGTAGTGGCACAGCACGAACTTGCTCGGTATTGAATCATGTATTTTACAACAAACAATATATGTCAAACTCGAAAATCAAATTCATACATTGAATATACCCTAAGTTAATCTATCCAAGTGTCGGACATCAAGGAAGCTCATATTTGACTGATAAATGTGATTATATGAGAGAAAAAGAAATTTAACAGAATTTGTCATTATGTATGGAGGTCAACAGTTATGATTGTTTTACTCTCATTTGTAGAAATTTATCAGATCTTTAGAGAATATTGAATTACAAAATTTTGATGTACAATTTTATCCGTGAAACTTTCTCGATACCACTTGATTATTTGAAAAGTTTTCATTCAAACAAATGAATTCTTCTAAAGATATTCCGTGTTCAATAAACGATTTGTCTTAAACATTGAATATGCCGAGAAGAATCAGTTTATTTAAACTGAAGCCTTTAAAATACTCTAGAAGTCTCGAGAACTTTTCAGGACAACACTTTACATGGAAATTTTATAATTCAATTTTCTCTAACGATTTGATAAAGTTCCAAAACTGACAGTAAAAGATAATAACTTTCGATGTATAAGACATGTGATGAATCGTTTTAGAGTTCTCCTAATCTCATAGAATTCTATTTATGGGCGAAATTTTTACTCGGCACTTCTTTTTTTCCAAAAATTTTTGAAGATTTTCGTCATTCCCTATTCGAAAAACAAGCTGTTTTTGAAAAAAACTGAAAATCTTTTTCGATTTTTCTCGTTTTATAGGTTCTCGATCACATCTCCAAGAATTCTCGAAGAAGTTTCATTGTAGCCAATAGGTTTTTTTTTGTTTGAAAGAGCGTATAAAACTGCAGTGCCTATGAGAGCCAGTTTTTTTTTAATCAAGCTTTGTTTTTATTATGCATAGAATCCTTTATATAATTAGAGCGCCAATTTTGGAGAGGTTTTTTGAGTCATTGGACATTCGATCCTTTTTTTCCATTAAAAAGTAAAAGTTACAAAAAAAAGACCCTCATCGGCACTGTATTCTGACATGCTCTTTCAAACAAAAAAACAATCAAGTACATATATTGAAGGGTTATTGAGAACTTTTGGAGATGCGATAAGCCATTTTGTGACCCTTATTTAGTCCGTATCTCCATTACACGTTATGATAGAAGGCTGAAAATTTTATCATACACGTCCTATCACAGGCCCAACATATCCTGCAAGTATCATCCTGTTTGGACGTTCCTGAGCTGAGATCGATTTTTGGAGGGGGAGGGGCCCTTAAGATAATTGGATATTTATGAATCAATGAGCAGCAGACAATATCTAATTAAATATCTGAACTCAAATTTCGTTTTCAACAATGGTGATTTCATCATGAGAGAAACAAAAAAAAACGTAAGAACTTACTTATATCAGCTTCGTCGTCGAAAGCTCTATAGATAGCCTTAGTCATGACATCTATAGAAATGTGTTGATAAAGAATATCAGAAACATGTAGACTATATTAAGGATGTCTTGTTATTCATCTATACCTGTAGTAGTACTGTCTGCAATGCATCCGAACACACGATCTATAAAATCCAAGGATGAAACATAAAGAAGTATTGCTAACAACAAAAATCACCGCAGGAACTTACATGCTCCAAGAGTGACTTCTGGAGCGACACCGAGAAATGGTTCAATAGGAATGAAGCCTGTCGTATTCAACTGTGTTGCATTGGCAGCAATAATTCCGGCAACATGTGTGCCTGATATTAGTTTAGAAATGAGAGTAGGATTATTTAAAAACAATAGGCTATATATTGATGATCAATACCATGAGCGTCCGAAGAACAATTATCGAGTGGATCATTATCTTCTTCTGGTACAGGATTCTGTTGATTGAATCGATCACCAACGAAATCTAGAAACGACTGACTGGTTATCTTTTTTATCAAATAAAGACTCGAAGTCATGACTAACCATAGCCAAATGCAACTTTATATGATGGTCCAAAGCCTCCTCCCAGAGCATGATGCATATAATCAATGCCAGAGTCAATGACAGCCACCTGCAGATGGAAAAGAACGACATAAATTTATCACAGTGCGCGAAAAAAGTCATTGGAAAGATTGTTCGTTAGATGAATTTCAGTTGCAAACTTATTGAAAAAATCAGGAAGAATTATGCAATTAAATGTACTATTCTATATGAGTAAAGAAAAATAAGAGTATTTTATAAACTAATATATGTTCAACTACTTGATCGATTAGAGAGAAAATGTAGAACTCTGAAAATTACGGTTTTCATTTCGTTCGTGAAAAAGATACTTTAACTTCTTATTACCGTTTGTTTTTCTATAGGGATGAGAAATAGGTCTAACTCATATTCCAATTCTCTTACCTTAACACCTTTACCAAAGTTGTTAAATTGCTCATGAATCTGAGTGACACCTGTCAAATTGTGTGCGATTAATGGCTCGGTTTGTCTGTTACTGCGACTACTAGACGAGATGTATGTCTTCAAGGGTTTAGGGCCGGGAATAGAGTGAATACGGTAAGTGGCAATAACGTCTGGAATTGATTCGATCATTTTGATAGAATGTTCGCTATTCACAGAGAATGAAGCTCCAATGAATAAAGACGAGGAAATTGTTTGACGCATAGTAATGGCTGACCGGGGAATTCCATGAGACCTTGTCAGGAACTCGGCAATAGTTTTCTCAAAATTTTTGATGCCTTTAGTTCGGTCAAATTCCACCAAATAAGAATTTGGGATCACTTTATAATTGTCAATGCTTTCAGACTCAAAGTTCTCTTGAACTGTGTTCCTTTCATTGCCAATTGTCGATTCTTTGAACAGAATACAAAGAGAAATCATTTCAATAATTTAAATAAAATTCATCCAAAGGGTAACATACTGCTAGCAGCCATTATATTATCGAACTGATTGGAGAGTACTGTTGGTATCATGATGAGCACCAGAATTAATGCCCCTGATATAGCCAATTTCATCGTTTTGGTTTACCGTTTGAATACAAATTCTCAATATTGCGAGAAAGAGTTTAGTATGTCAGATATCTACTATAAACTTAAGGAATTTGAGCGAATTAGCACGACGTATTCTATTCACTCATATTAGCACTCAATTTTCTGCATATCTTGTATGCTTGATATGCGATAAAATGCATACGAATGATCACAAACATGAACAGGCAGTTTTATATTTAGACTTCTGTTCTATGTTTAGCTACTGTCAGTAACTAATAATTAATTTTTTTTCACACTTACCTAATGTCCTAAATTTAGAAATTAACGGCCTAAAGTTTGAGGAGTAGATAATGTATATTTCGTCTCTAGTTCAGACAAATAGAATGAGGACCCAGGCAACAGGAAATATATATGAACTTTTGCAAATTTTGTAATACATAAAGCAAGATAGAAACAGTATTATCACATAGGATATATAATGTAAAAAACTAGTATTGGAATACTCTACCTATAACGAGACTATGATACATATCAACCTATGAAGTGTGTGACTTCAGTCGAATAAAATCAAATCGAACCGAATTATCGGACTGCTCGATTCTTTTCTGATATCTAACTTACAGATGCGTTGTACTTTGAAATTTCTCCGATTTATAGAAAACAACTATATTACTGCTAATATTTCTTATTCTCTCAAACTACTCAACCTTTAGAATGGTATGTGTATCAATGAATTACGTGTCTGTGTGGTCATTTTCATCTTGATCCACATTTACATTCACGCTCTGTCAAAAAGAAATCATATGTGATGAATCAAAATAATCAACATGTGTTGGTGTAGTCATAAAGAGAACCGACATTGATATGCACACTAATATTCATACAAACATCCATGTCCTTCTTTGTAAGGAAACCTATCTTTAATAGAACTGAGAAGAATACGTTTATTTCAAAATTAGAACTATTCTGAAAATCAAAAAGCTATATGCATTTAATTTTTTTCTTATCTAATATTTCATAATTACTACTTATACAACAAATATTATTTAATTGTTTATAATATCTATAAGCTCTCTAGTAAAAATTCTTGGTGTTCGTTTCCTAGATGCTTGAAAGTTCCTATGATGATTTGACAAATATTTATCCTTTTTTGTTCTTCAGTCAATGACTAAATCCTGAAAGAAGTGTGTAAGCACAAAATGTGAGAATTCTCACAAGAAACCAAACACGATTTTCAATGACCTTTTCAAGTTAATCATAGGACTTCAAGCCGAATTTAGATAGAAAATTGCCAAGCTCTACACAAAATGTGTAGCAATGCGATTTTCTGATCTTTGAAAGGTTTTTGAACAAGACTTTTAAAACATCCTGGTAGACAACATCATAGATAGCAGGATCCTTGCAAAATATAGAGAAGTCTTCTAAAAAAAAACTTTTCGAGACACTTTCTTGAATATTATTTAAATCGATATAATTTTCATTTTAATCACTGAAAAGAATTCTTCACAAACTTGCTGTAGTGAGCTGGATAAGATTCACGTCATATAGACATAAAATAGCAAGACTTACTGGGATTATCGTAGGATTTCCTAAACACAACAGAATAAATTTGAATACAGAAGTCTTGAGCGATAAATCTTCTATTCAAAAATTTTGCAGCTTACCCAGCTAAATTGTGTCTTTGTATAGAGATGAAACAAAGAATGATCTGTGTTTGATTGCTTTTTATATCCTTATCTATTATTCATTGCTCGTAAAACTTCAATTTTAAGTACTTAACTTGTTTTTACTATGCTGATATGCATGTCAATAGCCTATGATAATCATTAATTTTTCATGGATATCAATACAAAACAGACATTTATGACCAAAGTTGATAAGATAGATATCCCCATTAAATGTATTAATAAAGCTTGCCAGCGCGTTGTTTTACATGGTCAAAGTTTGAAACTCAGAAATGAGGCTTTTATAAACCCACATCATATTGTCAAACAGGCACAAAAAAATTATTTTAAAAGATATTATAAAAACAAATTTGTCTTAATTGTAACACTAACAAATGAGACTTCGGTTTTGAAATCCCATAAAATCCTAGAAATATCTTTAAGATTGATGAAGTCTCATGCAGTCTTGTTGATCTTTAACGTACATTTTGTCTATGAAAGTTCACAAGAAATCCAATCAAATAGTCAAATTTTGTGACGATATTATTTTAACAGAAAAGTGAACTTTCCTTATTTTGTCTATCTGCTAGAAAAGTGCATGTCCATTTAAAATAAAACTAAAAAAAGACATGGTTAATAGTTCATTGCCTAGTGATGAAGCTAATTTAATTTCAGAAGGAGTGTTTTATCAATTCGATATAAATCTTATGAAGTTCAGTCCTTTTTTTCTGTCTATTACCCGCAGAATCTGATTAGCTGATAAAAATCTAGCTTTATGAGTCAATAGACAATAAAATATTTACTTATGTATAAATTTAGGCTTACTGTTTATTTGTACTTGAAAATAGGAGCTCCTGAATGCGGGATTGGTCGAATTGAAAACATGTTTTCTATTGAATTCTATCTGATTAATGCTTTGGAGCATCCTAAAGTGGTAGCGGATGTACCTTGTTTTCTTATAGATAGCTTTAGGAAATTTTGTCTTTTTTTGTGAAGATCGAAAACAAAACCCTAGTTTTTCTGTGTTATTTCATCTCTATTCAACTAGTAAGATAAAAATAATATTTGAAAGAGAACTAGTTTTGTGAAAAATATAATCATAATAGGGTATGGGTGTGGGTGCGTGTGGATGTGGGTGTGGGTGTGGGTTAGAAGAAAAGTTGAACAGACACTCACACCCACACCCTATTTGGAATGCTGGTGATGTGTCGAACGAGTATCAATGATTTGGCGAATTTATTATCAGCTCCCATAGAATGTATCGCAATTGATGCTTCCAACTGTCTTAGCTCACCTTATGATCAATATTTAGATCCTATAGTCCAAAAAATATATATGGATGGGTGTAGGGTATGGCTGTCGATGAAGGTATGGGTGTGGATGGGTATGTGTTAGAGCCCATCGGGTCCAAGGTTTTTGTACCCGGATCCAGTTATTTAAAATTTTTCCACCCAGATCCGGATCCGTTTACAATTTGCTGGACCCGAACCCGGAACCGAACCCGATTGTTTAAAAAATGTTGGACCCGGATCCGATTGCTTAAATTTTTCGGATCCAAGCACAATGATAAATGAGTTTAAACAATATATTCAAGAAGTGTTTTGTTGTTCTCCATTTATCTTATAAATACCTTGAATTTCTTTTTCTTCATAAAACGAACAAAATTTCGAAAAAATTCACAGTACATTGTATGCATCAAAGTTTTCGGCAGACCTAGAGCCGACCCAGATCTGGATCCGAGCGGGTACGGGTCCTACCCGACGGGCTCTAGTGTGTAGTGCGGGTGTGGTTGTAGTTTAGGATGTAGGTTTCATACAATACGGCACCCACGCCCACACCCTCATTATTGACTGTTAATAATGTTGAATACTTGATATTGAAGAATTCAGAAACATAGGAATATAAAGTTTCCGCTTATCAACACTACTTCATTAAAAAATTCATAATTATGATTTAGAAAAAGTGAAAAATGCATATTTGTATTATGTGTAACAGTAGATCCGACTACAGTTGGATTATTATCGAGTATTTGTTGGTGACGTTGACAATGATAACATTATTTTGCTTCAACCACTGCTATTACTTGAGGAAAATGAAAAAAAAATAATGTTTTATCTGATTTCTATGGAGATATTGTATAAAATCATAGATATAATTAATGGAAAAAGTGCAAATGTGCCAAGAATGATATCAAGTAAAATTTCTATAAAGTCTACATATGAGGCGAGAGATTTAACTTCCAAAGTTTTAAAAAAATGTTTTACAAAATCTGTTAAATTTTCGAGGAAAACTCCGACAAAAACCTATTCTTTAAACTCTACTCACATATTTCTTTTTCTCGGAAAAGTCAAATAAAAATACTTTCCATCAAAAACGTCTCGCACAAA